GTGTGTGTGTGTGTGTGTGAGTGTGTGTGTGTGTGTGTGAGTGTGTGTGTGTGTGTGTGTGAGAGTGTGTGTGTGTGTGTGTGTGTGTGTGTGAGAGAGTGTGTGTGTGTGTGTGCACGTCAAATGTCAAAATGTTTTTTATTTTGTCACATAATGAATCAGCAGTGATTTTTGCATGCCATTTTACCTGTGCATCTGGAAAACTGCTGTTTTAAATTGTAATAATATTTCAACATTTTTACTGTATTTGTCATCAAATAAATGCAGCCTCAGTGAGCAGAAAAGACTCTTTCAGAAACAATATAAATATATTTATGAGTGTGTCACCTGACAGAAGAGTTGGTGATTGTCTTCAGAGACCAGCAGTAAACAGCAGCACTGCGACTGAGTTTCTGTCTGCAACTGAAAGAGAAACACACACACATCAATGCTTATAATAACTAGAAAAATATATACTGACTATAAAAATAAAATATTCTATGATTTTTAAAGATTTTATTCATTTTCATGACATTTGTAGGCATTATTATTTTAAACCATTTTCAATATTCCTTAAAAAAATTATGGGATATTGTATTAAATTCTTCCCTCTGCTTTAATGCATTGGATTTTCTGTCCCTCCGGATGTTGTGGATCACAGAACGACTAAACAGAACATTATTAGAAACCACAGTAAAGTGCAGGAAGATCTGACAGTGAGATATTAAATCAGACACAAACACTGAACGAGCGAAAGAGAAACGCAGAAACGCTGCTTGGCCTCTTCACCTTCTGGAGTGATTTATTCGGAGAGGCGACAGACAACATTCATTTTTCAAACCAGCCATTCGTAAAATGTTTTCTCTTAATTCAGAATGAACGGCGTAAAGAAATCATATCATTTCAGGGATTATTGCATTCTGGAGATGAAATTGTGTTCGGTAATAACGCAGAAAGGGGTTACGACTCAAACGTCTGTGTGTAAGGCAGGTATATGTCATGAATGTCATTTATGCATGACACAACAACAACATAAAAAAATGTAATCAAATAATCAAATAAAAGGAAAACAAACAGGCCGTTTAATAAAATAAAATAAAATACAAAAACAGACAGTTTAATAAAAAATAAAGTAAAATACAAAACAGGCCATTTAATAAAATAAAATAAAATAACTGCTTCAATAAACTCACGAGTTCTGTTCAGTTCAATAAGACTGTTATTAATAAAAATACAAAAACAGGCATTTGATGAAATAAAATCAACAAACATAAAAAGGCGGTTTAATAAAATAATAAAAGACAGGCCATTTAATAAAATAAAATAAAATAAAATAACTGCTTCAATAAACTCACGAGTTCTGTTCAGTTCAATAAGACTGTTATTAATAAAAATACAAAAACAGGCATTTGATGAAATAAAATCAACAAACATAAAAAGGCGGTTTAATAAAATAATAAAATAAAATGAAACAGAAAAAATAAAATAAAAGTTTGATACAGCTGTTTTTCCATCGTGTGATATTTATTAGGAGGTCAATATTTAAATATCACAAAGTCAATTAAAAAAATATATTGTTTTTGCTTCCTGAAGGTGTTTTAGATGAATATAAAAACACATATAAAGTGCAATAATGGCCACAAATAATACATGTATAAATAACACATCATGGCATAAAAATTTAGCACACTGTCTTGTCTAGATTATATATTTAACAATATTGATAAAGATTATTCTTGATATATTGATCAAACAAACTGATTTGATGATGCATTTGCATTTTAAAACAGTTGTTTTGAACGTATTTGATAATGTGATTCACAGACGGGTTAGAAACGTTGAAAACAAAGACAAAAACAGGGATGGTGCTTGCTGTAATGGAAATGAAAGTGTGTGTGTGTGTGTGTGTGTGACTGTGTGTGTGTGTGTGTCTGTGTGTGTGTGTGTGTGACTGTGTGTGTGTGTGTGTGTGTGTCTGTGTGTGTGTGACTGTGTGTGTGTGTGTGTCTGTGTGTGTCCGTAACAGCGAGCAGCAATAAACATTATGACCTGTAAGTGAACATAAATCAGCTCCAAACGACACGACAAACTCATCTGCTGATCTGACTGCATTTGGATTTGTACCTTCTTGTGATTGTCCATTGACTTCTGTTGTTTTTATACCAAGATAATGATAGTTTGTCCCCTAAATGTCACAGAAAGCACAATTACAGCTAACAAAAATATATTCTGATATATTTTTGCTAAAATTGCCATTACATTATGAAAATGTTATTTCTGAATGTTCTCCGAACATTTTAAACGTGCAGTTTTTAAACGATTGAAAATGTTTTTCTTGGTAAGGGTTAGGTTAAGGAACATTAAAAAAACATTACATTTTAACATTTTGCAGACCGTATGGGAACGTTAACTTGGAACATCAAACAAAACTATTTCAGAAAAACAAAAACAAATGCTTAATCGCTGGGTGAAAGCGTTCTTCCAGCACAACTGATCTGCTTTCCTCATTTACTGGAGTGAGAGTCTTGTGTGTTCATGTATAAGGAAGTTAAATAAAATGTTATTTATGCATGACACAACAAAAAGATAAAATAAAATCAAATCAAATCAAATCAAATCAAATCAAATAATAAAATTAAATTAAATTAAATAAAATTAAATTAAAAAATAAAATCAAATAAAATCAAATAAAATCAAATAAAATCAAATCAAATAAAATCAAATAAAATTAAATAAACAAATTAAATAAAAAATTGTGTTTGGCAATAATACAGAAAGTAGTCAAAACTCTTAACGTGTACAGCAAGTACAGGTCATGAATGTCATTTATCCATGACACAAAAATAATAAAATAAAATAAAAAAACAGGCAGTTTAAAATAAAATAAAACATATTCTAAGAATACTTTGCTAACATTCCCATTAAGTTATGAAAGCATTATGTTCATTATGTTCAGTTCTGAATGTTACATTTTTAAAATGTAAAAAAAAAAAAAATCCTGATAATGTGAACATCAAGGGAACATTCCATTGTATCATTTTGCAAACAATGTGGGAACGTTACTTTTGTTCTCTGAACGTTCTGAAACAAGTAGCAACATTTAAGAAATGTTAGACAAACAAGTTTCACAAAAAAAATATCCATAAACATTCTACATTTTTTATATAAATAATTTGTTTTTGTGCTAAGAACATTATTAAAGAGCAGATAACTTTGAATGAATGTTTCATTAATGTTACTGGAAGAACGTTTGTATCAGGGAGCACAGCTGTGCTGTCTATGTAGGCAGCTCACTAGGTTTGGAAACAGAGCCGTCACCTGCAAAACAATTAATTCTGTTCCCTCTCAACACAAAGTCTAACGACACTGAATAGAAATGTGTGTGTGTGTGTCTGACTTGTGACTGAGGTTAATTGTTTCTTGGCCTAGTTGTAACTGAATGAGAGTCCAGAGGGACTGTAGATCAGTGACCTTCACGAGGAGCTGCAGGCGTCTCAATAACACTCTTATCACAATCTCAGCCGACCTTCCTCATTCATAAGGATATAAAATAGCTTCGTAAATAGGAAGATTTCAGTACATGAGGATTCTGAATGGGATTTTTTAGTGAGCCATTAAATGACTTGAGACTCGACTCGGACTCCAAGTTAAAGACTTGTGAACATCTCTGGTCTGATTACATAACCTAAAATGTGTAATGCAATGGATTACGTTACTAACTACAATTTTTGTCATGTAATTTGGAATCGGTAACGGATTACAATTTGTAAGTAAAAATACATGCCTCTAAATGCATTTCTGCAGCACCGTTATTAAGTTCCTGACTGCACGTTACGCCGCAGTTTCAAAGTGAAACGTCCAGTGAGTGGGGCTAAAACGCGGGTTCAATACGTGACCCTGGCACGTTTTTGTTACGTTGATATAGGCACATATTGCTGTGTTTGTATTAAGTGTGTGTGTGTGTATTTGTGTGAGTGTGTGTGTGTTGTGTGTTTCTCACCACACAGCCGTAGGATCTTGCGGTCGAGCTCTCTGTAGTCCTCCGCCTGTGCTCTGGCTTTGGACTCCGCTGGTGCATTGTGGGATTGAGCGTGTGGCCGTTTGGAGCATCTCTGAATGTCTCTGACTCGCTTACAGGCCACGGTGAGCTGACGACACACACACACACACACACAATATAAACAGTGTCACATGCACATGTAGTAATGTTTATCTAGAAAGTGTAAATCTATGTAAAATCACAGCCGTGCTGATATAGAGCGATGGCTAACGAGTGTGATATTGCGTTTATACAACAATTCGATGGAACCTGTGTGTAAATAAATAAGAAACAACCATTGAGTGTCTTAAAAAACATTCTGTGTGCAGAACTACTTTCTTCCGCCACAAATCCAAATCTCTAGCAGACAGTTTAATAGTCAGTGTTGGGGAGTAACTAGTTACATGTAATGAAATTACGTAATTTAATGACAAAATAAATGGAAACTTGTGAAAATGTTAACGATTACAATGGGGGTTACATCTTATTTGTTTTTTGTTTTTTTTACACACCCACACACAGATTAATTGATAATTGATTTCTTTCATAAATTGCATTGATTGCTCTAAAACATGAGACACCAATGTTTCAGGAGTTTAGGACACGTGCTTATTCGACAATTTGTTTTATTCGTTTTATTTTCTATTGGGTTTATGTATATTTATTATTTAAGATTAACTATATTTTTTTTCAGGGCACTGTTAGAGATTCCAGTGTTTCTTGTCAATTATAATAATTCAAGTTATGGAGGATTCTGAAAGTCTGACAGTATTGAGTGCTACTGTAAGTTTAACCCTGCTTGGTTTACATTTTTGAAAATTATTAACAGTCGAAAACATTAAATATTTAGAAAAGTAATCAAATGTAATCAGTTGCACTACTTTAATAAATTAACTGAAATAGTTACACTACTATTACATTTTAAGTAGGGTAACTTGTAATCTGTAATCTATTACATTTCCAAAGTAACCTTCCCAACACTGTCAGCTGAGATTGTAGTTTGATTTTGCTTTCCTTCACTTTGTCAATCTTGTCGTGTATGCATGTAAAGTCTAAAAAATCTAAAAATAAATAATATATGAATATAATATTAAGCAAATAAATAATTAAATAACATTTTGTGAGTCTTATTCTTTGGAATGAATGAATGGATGAATGAATGTTTCATATTTCAGTGGGAAGCAAATCTTATTTTAGGAAAATTTATAAAATAATATATTATATTAATATAATATGTAAATGTAATATATATATATATCCAGGATGTTGAGGTTTTGTTCATCTTGTTCTGTCAGCGGTTTACAGCAGAGCTGTTGAGAGAGCGACAGACACCACGAGTCAAAGAAATCACACAATTCATTACATCCTTCAGCAAACCACCTGCTCTATTTCTGCCAGCTCTCTCTCTCTCTCTCTCCGGGGAAACGCTTCATTTGCTTTAGGGGTCACACTGTGACCTTTGACCCTGCGTCCGTCTGCAAGAGTCCCAGAGAGACACTCGAAACACCTTTCCCACGAGACACGCTACTGATCTAATAGAGCGGATACTAAAACACTGACATGAAGTCGAACAGCAGCTCTGATCCACATACTAGAGAGCGTTTGCTGTCTTTAATGCAGGAAATTAATACTTTCATTCATCAGTGATGCACTACATTCATCAAAAGTGACAGTAAAGACATTTATAATGTTACAAAAGATTTCTAAAGTTTTCAACATTGATAATAATCAGAAACGTTTCTTGAGCAGCAAATCAGCATATTAGAATGATTTCTGAAGATCATGTGACACTGTTTTTACAGTATTTTTTCTCAAATAAATGCAGCCTTTGTGAGCAGAAGAGACTTAAAAACATTTAAAAATAAAAAATCATATTGACCCCAAACTTTTAAGGGAATTAAACCTTGTAAGTGACTGGTTTTAAACTAGACATGTGGAAAATTATGCATTTTATAAATGACTATAATATATATAAATATTTCACCAAATAAATATTATACATTTTTTATTAATTCAACATACAAGAGTTTGACAAAAATGTCTTGAAATTTATGACTGAATGCATGGTTATTATTATTAACTAAAACCATTTTCGTTACTTAAAAAAAATTAAATAAATAAAATAAATAAATAAATAATAATAATAATAATAATTCAACACATAAATATTTGGAGTTTGGCAAAAATTGTCTTGAAATTTATGATTGAATGCATGGTTATTATTATTAACTAAAACCATTTTCGTTACTTAAAAAAAATAAAAAAAATAAAATAAATAAATAAATAATAATAATAATAATAATTCAACACATAAATATTTGGAGTTTGGCAAAAAATTGTCTTGAAATTTATGATTGAATGCATGGTTATTATTATTAACTAAAAATAAATAAATAAATAAATAAATAAAAACTCAACTTATTCAGCTTGTTTGCAAGCAAAACATTTCTTATTTTTGTTTAGTGTGAATTGAAGTACTAAAATAACTCAAACTAAAAATAAAATAAAATTAATAAATACTATATAGACATAATTAAAAAAAACAAAACCTAATAAAAATGACAAAACAAAATAAATGACTAAAAAATAAAAATAAAGTTAAAGTGAAAACAGAAAACATAAAGATAAAATGTAACACAAAACAAAATCTATAACTTGTAAAAATAACACTGGTTGAAGGTGGAGAATTCGATGCAACAGCTCTTCTTTGATGTTGACGGTGCTTTAAACATGATGCATGCAGAGATTTGATCATGCTGTCCAGCAGAAACAGAAACTGCGTCTCTAAATTCATCCTCTTGAAGATCAACGCTCCTGAACCGTCCGCTCTGCAAACACTCAAACATCAGCCGCGTCTCTTTACATGTGAAGCACAAGCGCAGGTCGAGTGTGGAGCACGAGGCTCAGAGTTCAAACTACTTCACATTCAACCCCAATTTTTGCTGTTGCAATTTTGAAGCGCAGCCAATGATTGCAAGACAATTTGCACGACGTGTCATTATGTGCAAAATGGACGAGACTTTTGTTGCCTTTCACTATTTTCATTCTATCTTCATTTCATTTTCATTTCTATTTTCCAACTTGCTAACCATTTTCGTTACTTAAAATAAAATAAATAAATAATAATTCTACTTATCCGGCTTGTTGGCAAGCCAACATTTCTTATTTTTGTTTAGTGTAAATTGAAGTACTTAAATTACAAAATAAATAATTAAAAAAATAATAATATAGACATTATTAAAAATATAAAAAACTAATAAAAATGACCAAAAAAAAATATATGTGTGTGTACTGTGTATATTTATTATGTATATATAAAGACACACACATATAGTATATATTTTGAAAATATTCACATGTATATATTTATATTCATATAATTGTATAAATAAGACTCTCTAGAAGCTCTAAACATGTCCTTGATGTGATACGCTCCGTCACAATCGTTTCTTTTCTATAAAGCGTCTCCCCTGCACTCAAAAATCTCATAAAACCATACAGTTTTATTACTCAATTAGAAATAAACACTTTAATTGGACTAATGCCGCCTGTAAAAGCGCAACATTAGGCAGCTCGTTAAAAATAACGAGCTATAACGAATTTCGGATGACTCAAAGAGAGGGATTGCACGACATTCACTGATTCAATGGTTCAGAGGTGAGAGAGAGAGAGAGAGAGAGAGCGAGAGAGACAGAGACAGAGAGAGAGAGAGAGAGAGAGACAGAGAGAGAGAGAGAAACAGAGACAGAGAGAGAGAGAGAGAGATCACAGGCATCACTACAGCACTATTGTGTGTGAAATTACAGCAGAACTCACCAGAATCAGAGAGATCACCTTCCCTTCATCATCGTCCACCAGAGGAATGATGAGCACTGAGACAAAAACACAACTTAAAGCAACTTTACTCATTCTCAGGCCGTCTAAGATGTAGGTGAATCTAACAGGAATTACAGTTTTTTCAGCTGCTTACACACATTTTCAAAACTTTGCCTCTTTTTTAAAAATCTTTACACACAAATCCAAGAATTGCACACACTAAATACAAAATGCCTCACATTTGAAACGATTGAAATCCATTCAAAATATCACAAACACAAAAACTGTGAGCTGGAAACTTCATATAATGCAAGTCAATGGCTACCGTCAATTTGAGAGTCAAAAAAGCACATACAGGCAACACAACATTAAAACCTGTGGCTGCTGCTGATACATCGAAACGATCGGTCTGTGCAAGAAACTGAACATTATTTACAACACTGTAATCCAGAGCCTCAGGCAAACGGGGAAATCTGATTCTTTTCTGCGAACTGATTCTTTCGGACAGTTCTTTTCAATGAACTGGTTCAGTGACGTCATACGCAATTCTATTATTAAAGCACCCAAAAATTGCAGACGTTTTACATGTCTAAAGCGTGTAAAGTGAATAAACTCGTCTTCATCAGCATCATTCAGTCCGATTTGATGAACTGATTCAACTGGTTCACTGAAAAGAACCGATTCAAAAGAATGATTCATTCACAAACTGAACCGTTTGCCTGAGGCTCTGGATTACAGTGTTGTAAATAATGTTCAGTTTCTTGCACAGATCAATCGTTTCGCTTTATAATCTCAATATACAGTATCATGATCTCAGTATATATATACAGTGGGTACGGAAAGTATTCAGACCCCCTTAAATTTTTCACTCTTTGTTATATTGCAGCCATTTGCTAAAATCATTTAAGTTAATTTTTTTTCCTCATTAATGTACACACAGCACCCCATATTGACCAATATATCACGAGGAGTCATGTGTATTAATTTTGTGTTGCCTGATATGCATTTTTAACTCTCAAAGTGCCAGTAGTCACTGACTTGCATTATATGAATCACCAAGGACCATCGTTTCAACTAAAAATCTGTTCTACTTAAGAAAAAAAGTCACCTACATCTTGGATGATCTGACGATGAGTAAATTAACAGCAAATTGTCTTTTTGGGGGAACTGTCTCTTTAAAACAAACAAACAAATCTATATTTGATGTATATATTGATATACTATATACAAATACATATTTATTTATTTATTTATATATATGTAATGTGATGTGACCAAACAAATAATACAAATATATGTTAAAAAAATAAAAGAATGAAATAAATTGTTTTGCAAACACACACACTCATGAACTCTGTCTCTCTCACACACTCGGTTTCTTTATGTTTGCTGTCTAAGAATCTGAAGGCTGTATTGTTACTCTGGTAAAAATAGTACTACATAGCGATAGTCACCATGGGAACAAGTAGAGAGAAAGCGAGAGCGAGAGGTAAACTAGGAAAATCTGATGAAAGTGGACTAAAAGTTCAGCGGTGTAAATGAAAATTTCTCACTCTTTAAAACGTCTTTCATTATCACACTGTCTCTGGGCTTTTACACCACCGAGAGAAATCAAGTCCCTTGTTCACACACACACACACACACTCATACACACACACACACACACACACACACACACATACTCATACTCATACTCACA